TTCAGTTGGTTCTGTTGGTGATGTCACCCATTTTGTTTCTTATTCGTGTTACTTGTATTCTCTCCCTCTTTTCCTTTGTTAAATTTGCCAGTGGTTTGTCAATTTTATTAATCTTTTCAAAAAACCAACTTCTGGTTTCGTTGATTTTTTTCTATTGCTCTTCTATTTTCTGTTTCATTGATTTCTGTTCGAATCTTGATTCTTTTCTTTCTTCTGGTGACTGTAGGCTTTTCTTGCTGTTTTTTTCTAATTGTTGGAGATGTTGGTTTAAAGTGTTGATTTTGGCTCTTTCTTCTTTTTGGATGTGTGCATTTATTGCTATAAATTGGCCCCTAATCACTGCTTTTGCTGTGTACTAAAGATTTTGGTATGTTGTGTTTTCATTCTTGTTTGATTCAAGGACTTTTTGAATTTCAGTTTTTATTTCTTCTCTTACCCAGTCTTTCTCAAGGAGGGTGTTGTTCAGTTTCCATGTGTTTACTCTTTTTCCATTGATCTTCCTATTGTTGACTTCTAATTTGATAGCACTGTGATCTGAGAAGATGGTTTGCAGTATTTCAATGTTTTGAAATTTGTTAAGGCTTGCTTTATGGCTTAACATATGGTCTATCATGGGAAATGTTCCATGTGCGCTGGAAAAGAATGTATATTGTGCTGTTATTGGGTGAAGTGCTCTGTAGATGTCTAAAAGGTCAAGCTGGTGGATTGTATTGTTTTGCCCTTCTGCATCTTTGTTGAGTTTCTTTCCAGTTGTTCTTTCTTTCATTGAAAGTGGTGTATTAAAGTCTCCCACTATGAGTGTGGAGTCATCTATTTGCCTTTTCAACTCTTTTAAAGTCTGATATATGTATTTTGGGGCCTTTCATTGGGTCCATAGATATTTATTATGGTTATATCTTCATGTTCAATTGATCCTTTAATCATTATATAATGTCTTTCCTTGTCTTGTATGGTGATTTTTGTCTTAAAGTCAAGTTGATCAGAAATTAATATTGCCACTCCTGCTCTTTTACTGTTGCCATTTTCTAGATATATGTTTTTCCAACCTTTGAATTTTAGTTTGTTTTTGTCTTTGTCTCTAAGGTGTAGACAGAATATTGATGGATTTTGTTTTCTTATGCAGTCTGCAACTCTGCATCTCTTGAGTGGTACATTTAATTCATTAACATTTAGTGTAATAATCAACAAGTATGAATCAGTTGCTGTCATTCTGTTATGTATTTTTTCATGGTGTCCCTGGTTTCTTTATTCCATATTATTTTCTGTGCTGAGCTCATTATGTTTATGAATTGTGTTATAATTTCCTTTGTTGCTATTGTTTTAGTATTTGCTGAATATTTGTGCTTGTTCTCTTTTTTATTGTGATGTGAAGGTTTATCATTTCTTCTTTGAGGTTACGCCGTGATTTATAATTTTCTCCCCGAGTTTAGAACAGTCCATTCCAACTCTCCTGACTTCCTCATCATTTAGATGTTCTGTAACTACACAGTATTTTCCTTCTTTTGGGTTTGTAGTTGTCCTCATTTGCCAATTGTTGTCTCTGGTTCCCTGTTTACAATCTTGTAAGCTCATTTTACTTTGGATATGTCCATAGCTGTGGTTTCTGGGTTATGTCATCTTGTGTATTAATGGTCGGTTGTTATTTGCTATTTTTGGTTTTCTGTTCAAAGGACTCCGTTTAGTATCTCTTGTAAGGTTGGTCTGATATTAACAAATTCCCTTAATTTCTGCTTATCTGAAAATCTAATTCCACCATCATATTTGAGTGACAGTTTTGCCAGGTATATAATTCTTGGTTGAAAATTTTTCCCTTTCAGGGTTTTATAGATACCATCCTATTGCCTTCTCGCTTGCATGGTTTCTGCTGAGAAACCAAGTCCTTTATAAGTAACTTTTTGTTTTTCCCATGCTGCTTTCAGGATTCTGTCTTTGTCTTTGGTTTTGATGAGTTTGAGGATATGTGTTGGTGATTTTCTTTTGGGGTCTATCCTGTTTGAGGTTCGTTGGACTGCCTGAATGGATATATTCTCATCTTTCATCATATCAGGGAAGTTCTCTTCCAACAAATCTTGTACAATTTTCTCAGTGGTTTTATTTTTCTTTTCCTGTTTTGGAATTCTAAATGACATGTAGGTTACTCCTTTTAATGGTATCCCACGTGAACCTTAGCCTGTCTTCATTTTGTTTTGATCTTTTGTCTGATTGATCCCTTTCCAAAGACGTATCCAGGTGTTTGTCTTCAATATCATTAATTCTGTCTTCCATTGCATTGATTCTGCTCCTTTGCCCTTTGAATGTATTATCTATTTCTGACAATTTAGTATTAATCTTCTGGATTTCTATCTGTAGATTTAGAATCACTTCTAACTTTTCATTTATTTTGTCATTTTGTTCTTGTGTGTTCTTCTAAAATTCTTCTAGGGTTTTGTCTGTATTTTCCTTGGTCTGTCTCTCAATCCTTTAAAGATACCTAAATATAATTGTTTTGAATTCTTTATCAGAGAGTTCTGATGCTGCTTCTTCCTCAGGGATGTATTCTGGGTCTATATCCTGCTCCCTTGTTTCTACCACTTTATCTTGCCTCTTTGTGTGGACTGTCATGGTCTCTTGTCTCTGAGACATCATGGTGGTGTTGTATTTAGATCTCTATTAACTGTTTGTGAAGAGCAGCAAGGGTGAGCCAGGTTCTTCTTGGTGGTTGTTTATCGTTGGCCTGTTGGTGGAGAAGGAGGTGGTGAAGCTGCAGGAGGTGTGGGTGTAGGTGTGTCGTATGGGGACTATTGCTGTCTTCCACTCAGCTAGACAAAAATAACAATTAAATAACCATGAAAAAAGTAAAAGCAAATGGACAAAACACATGCTGTGTAATCACACAGGACAATAACCAAAAAAAAGAAGAAAAAAAACAACGCAATATCTGGGGAGAGGGCAATAAGTTGAAACAGGTAGAGAAGAAGAATAATGAAGAAAAAAATGGGAAAAACGCAAAAAGAAAAACAAGGAACGGGGTTAACCACGAGAAAGAAAAAAAAATTGCAAACAGGAACAAGAAAAAGCTGAAAACTAGAACATGGGAAGGGAAGAATAAAGAATAATAGTAAAAAGGACAAAAGTAGTAATAATAGTAGTAGTTTTAAAACAGATAAAAACAAACAAACTAAAAAACAGAAAAAAGAAATCGAGGCAGGGCAGGGCAGGGTACCTAGGCTCCATCCGAGCACACAGACTAGGATGGAACTCCTGCTGGCCCAGAAGGTGGGTGGGAGTGAGGGATAGCTGCACTTCTGGTCACCAAGAGGGTGTGGGGTATGAGTAACAAGGGGAATGTGGCACCTTTCCAGTCGTCTGGGTCCAGAATGTTCTTGCGGTTCCTGGCAAGTGGATCCTGTTCTTAAGTCCCTAGAGTCTGGGAGAAAGCTGTTGCTTTAAATGTCTAAAATGGTCAAACCGCTTGTAAACATTGAAAATGGCAGTGCCCTCTGGACAGGTAAAAATCCACAACTCAGCCCAGTTTCCTCTCCACTGCTTCCCCTTTTATTCACCAGCCACCACAGCAGTCTTCCTTGCAGTCCCTGGCTAGCAGGGCAGATTTTTAGGTTAATTCTTAGGTCCTACCACCACTCGGCAATATCCAAGCTGTCTGTGCCGTCAGGATCATTGCCAGACTGCAGCTCCATATGTGCCCTTTTTTGATGTTTTCATACAAAGTCTTCTGCTAGTTGGAGTTTAGTCCACTTCTGTATGCTTCCCTTTGAGGCTCAGGGGTCCAGGATTATCTTCTGTATCTGTGTTAATTGGTTCCCCTTTTCTTTGTTGAAGAGGGTCTGTGCAGTCTTTCTGAGTAGCCCGCCATCTTACTGGAACTCCTAGGCTCCAACTCTTGAAGGAAGATATGTCATAGAGTTTCTGGACATTTACCACAATAAGGGTTAAATATGACTCCTGTATGAGAAGTCTTTCTGAAGGATGGCTCAGGAAACCTAAGGGAGAGAACGTGTTCTTGGGGCTAATGGCCAAGAAAGGGCATTCGTTGGCCTAGCGTCGACTCTGGAAAATTCAGTCGTCCTGAGTTACAGCTACATATAGCGGAAAAGATCAGGTTAAATGTGTTGTGCTCTACTCAGGTTGCTTTTAGATGAGAATTACTTATATCAGCTTTTGTATTGTCAGTTATCTTTCTCCTAAATGTGGGGTGAGGGGCAGCTAATCAAGGATTTTTGTTAGATTCTGATTGAGGTTTTAATCTAGCAACTTCAAGTTAATAGAACCAGAACTTCTTATCTTTGCATTAGTTGTAAAATTACAAAGATGATACATGTCATGGTGAAAAAGTCAAAGTATAAATTCAGCCCTTCAGGAGACAGTGTCTTTTGTCAAGCCAGAGTGACAGAAAACCTCCTCATGCTTCGGGACAGACAGGTGCCCCCTCCCTGTGGCCGCTGGTACTCGTGCCCGTGTACTGGCTCCTCCCTATCAGCACCACTCGAGTGGCATTTGCTCCCTGGTGCTACAGGCAGAAATTTCCGTTTCTCTCTATCTGTAACGAACGTGATTGCCGTTTCTTTTGCTCAGCGTCGCCTCCACAGAGCTGACAGGAAGCACTTCTTTCACAATTTCCTGGCCAGAAAGATACATTCAAATTCTCAACTGTCGAGACCTGGACAGGGAAGCCAGGCTCTTGGATTCACAGGACAGCTTATTTGTAGTCAGAAGTTTTCATTTGCTTTTGTCAAGAAAAAGTAAACATTCTTGTCAGGTGGGCATTAGGGGGGTTGGTTTGGTTTTGAGCTTTTTTCATTTTGGACACGAAGCATAATCATCACCATTCCTTCCTCCTCACATGCCGTCCTGTTTGCGTATAGTGATAAAATGGGAACGTGTGGGGTTGTCTGTTGCTTTTGGAAAACTCTGTGTGTTCTACAAGTTCCAGATAGATGGCATGATTATTTTTTGTTATGAAAACTTCTAAATGCTCACACGAATATCCTTGATCTCATTAGAGGCCATGATGATGGGGAAACTGCACAAAGAAATCGGTCAGCTGATTGTCCAGTCTGCAGAAGACCCCGAGAAATCTGACAGCCAAGTTATTAAGGTAACCCCAAAGTCTTCCTACTTATGTAGTGTCCTGAAAGGGCGTCACTGGCTGGTGTGTGACAGAACTGCCCATTACCTGCTCTCTGAATGAATATGGGATGTGACGTGGGAGGGACCAGTGCATAGAGGCTCAGAGGGTTTGCACAATGGCCATGCTGATGATGAGCAGAGGCAGGGTCACCATGGCTGAGTTACCAGTTACCAGGCTCTGAGGACAGATCTAGAAAGGGGCCGGTGCTGAAGCCAACCATCTCTAGTGAGAAGAGTCATGGCCAGGTGGTTTGGGGTGCTCTGGGCGCTGGCCGGTGCAGTTTTTCCTAGAATTTACCTGGAGGAACAAACTGCAGAGAGGAGGTTCCTCCTGAGTATGAGGAACTAGATGGATGGGCATCACTCAGCTTTGCTGGACTGTGTGCAGGACAGCAGTAATTATATCGTCACGCCCCTGCCAGACTTAGTCAACTCTGCTTTTACACTGCAGACCTAGCTCCTCTGGGGAGTGTGCCTGTCAGGTTGGCCAGAGTTTCTGTGCGGTGCACTTGGCACCGTCGCTTCTCCCCTTGCCAGACTGGGATGGTAAATGGTTTCATTTCCTGTGCAAACTCCAGCTGAGAGCAAGAAGCTGCATGAGGTGCTGCAGTGATAAGAACTTGGGCTTGTGTTGAGGTCAAGGGGAAAGTGGACCATGCAACTCATTAGCAGTGTCTGCCATGGGCACAAAGGGATCACAGTGGCCCAGGAGTCAGGCATTTATTATTCCTGCACTACCCTTGGAGGCCTGGAAAGTGTGGCTCTAACTCATTTCAACCCTGGATGGGGCCTCATCTTCAGTTTCTTGGGGTAGGCGTGGGACCCCATGTACTGATGCCAGCTTGGTTCCCTCCAAGTCAGTGTGATGGCAGTGGAATGGACAAGGCTTTGAAGACACAGAGATCCAGAGGTGAACTTGAGCCCTGCCATCTGACAGTTGTGTGGGTGTGGGCAGGGCAGTGCCTTTCTGAAGCCTGGTTTTCTTTTGGGGGGGGGGCTTGTTGTGACAATAAGGACAATGGACAGAGAAATGAAAGAGCTCTGTTGGTGACATATCATGGACACCTTGCAGATGATGGACTCCTTTCCCACAATTCAGTTGTCATCTTCTCTTACTCCTTTGGCCCACCATCTTAATGCCCTTTTTGAACCAGAGAAAGTAGTTAAGGAAGGAGTCAGTGGTATTTCGGCCCCAATGTTTTTGTGCCATTGATACCTACTCAGGTGACTAGCTCCAGTGGGTGTGGACTGCGGGAAGATAAGAGTTTGAAGCATCAGTGGGTTCTTGGGGCAGATGGACTGAATATAGAGCTTTGGGGACTAGAGGTGGCAAGGTACGAACTGAGGATAAACATCTGGGAGATGCCATGTCCATTTTATAGTTGGCACAAGTAAGCCTGTGAGGAGAACAGATCCCCTGGGACCTTAAGGTGTAAGAATATGCAGGAGCACCAGCGTGCACCCTCTTCTTCCTGTTATTCTGGTCAGGCTTTTGTAGCTGTAACGGGGAATTAGGGGGCCGTGACTCTTCCATCTAGATGCATGCCCGAGTCAAGCCTGTTCTCCACCATGTTTCCTGGGTGTGCAGGGGGCTGGCAGGGCACAGTCTCACTCCTGTATCCCTCAGGGCTCTGCCATCGGAGTCCAGTGGGGGAGAGCTATGAGGCCCCACTGTTAACTCTTTTGTTCCCTTCATATATTTTTTTTATACTAATACATTACATATTTTCCTGTTCTATTAAAGGACATTTCCCTGAAAACAAGAGAGCTCTTGACCAACTTAGCATCATTTGCAGAAGTTTCAGATGATGGAGAGAAGCCAGCACTCAGTTTTGAAGCACTAAAGCAGAAACGGTTTCCACCAGCCACGGAAAACTTCCTTTATCACCTAGCAGCAGCCGAACGCATGCTGAAAATCTCCGTGACAGAAAGTGTTGCCGGCGGCAGGTCCAGAGCTCCCCTTTCACTATGATTATCCATTTGATACTGAAAAAACAAAGAAAAGGTTCTATTTTTAATGATGTATTTGAAAGTATTGGAATTTGACCTGAACACTGAAATACACACGGAAACACATCTCATTTCCTCCTCTGATTAGTTTATGCTGTCCGTGCTGGGCAAAGTGCTGTCACTACTCTAGATCACGTTAAACGGCCAGTGTCCTGGACTAAGAGAACCTCGCTCAAGTTCCCACATGAGGCACAGCGGATGCACACGCCTGCATATTATAGCTTCCAGTCTGTCTTGTGTAGCTACAAACTAACGGTTTATTTTCAGAAAGCTGCCTGAAATTTTGCTCTGTATTCTTCTAGGAAGAACTTTAATTCCTCACGAGGAACTCTACTTTCTGAGCCAAACTACCAAATTTTCTGCAGAACTGTCTAGAAGATCATTCAAAAGACCCTGCAGTTGCACTTTCTTGTAAGAGGAAGAGAAACACTTTTTTCTTGGCCTTTGAACATTTTGCCTATGGGGATTTTGCTTAGATTTTATACTTGAGTAGACAATTTTAATAATCCATGTTTATACTATCATAGAGGTAAACATTTGGCCAACTGAAGCCATTAATACTCTTCAGTTAACCCTGTTGCTAGCAATATTCTTTTGAAAAAGATGCCGTTCCTCTTGGGTAGAGTAGAATGAGTATGACCGAGACAGTGACCGTAGTTGGAAAGAGAGTGTGAGAATGACTGTCTTACAGGGGCCAAGACCAGAGAATGTCTTCAGACAACTTCAGTACAAGCAGGTGCCTATGTAGGAAGGGGCCCGTTCCGTACACACCTTTTTCATCATCGGAGACCTTGAAACGACCCAGGTGCACAGAGGTCTAAATGAGGTACTTGTTACTTCAGTACATGTATTCATAGTAATTAGGAAAGACTTTTTCACTCCAATAATGTGTCCTTAGAAACATGACCCAGAAAAATGTTTGCAAAAAAAAAAAACCTCGTGTGTACTGGATCTTTCCTTCCTTTCTTTTCCTGTGTTTCTTCAGCAAAAATAAAAAAGAGCCTCTTCCCCTCCCTCTGTGGGCCGGGGCAGGAGAAGATCTGGAATGAGATGATGTTCAGTGAGGGAACAACTGAAAATTAAATCTGCACTTTATGAAAACAAATGGGAACATCGTATTTTTTTTTTTCCGGTATTATACTAGCTAGTGATCAAAGTTGTTTAAATTACAGTGTTATGATCAGAAATAGAAGTATTTTGATACTTAACAAAGTTGAGGTAAGTGAAGAAATGTCCGCTCCTCTAATCCTCCCCACTACAAACAAGGAAAAAACCCTTATCCATGCAGACCCACTGGGGGACAATTACCAGAGTGTTTGAAAGCTTAGCCTGCCAGGCTCCTCCCCGCCCCTGCCCCACCCCGCCCTTCTCCCCAGGCCCTGGTCCTAGGCTGACCCCCACTTCCTAGACTTGCTCTGAGGGAGAGGCGGCTTCTCTCTCGAGAAGGTGCCTTCCTGTTTCTGTCGGTCATCTGTTAGTGGCTAAGCACCCACCAGCAGCCTTTGCACTCTGCTCTCTGCCTTTAATTTTGTTTAGTGGGTGCCTGTGAGTACAGTGAACCATCTGTTAATAATTTTTAGATTCTGCCCTTATGGGTCATTGTGAAACCCCTTTGACCAAAGCTTGAAATAACTGTCATTCTGGCCCAGGGAAAAGAAACGAAGCCACAGGCATAGTCTGGTGATTCACGGAGGGCATGCTGGAGTCCACTCCACAAGCGGTGTTGAGGACTGGCGCTGTGCCATAAACTGTTGTATTCTGGGGCTGCCCTGGTGGCGCCTGCTCTCAAGGTGCACAGTCCACAGGAGGACCAGGACAGAGGACACTGCAATCCAGTGTAGAACGTACTAGACATGATACAAGAAACACCGGAGCCGTGGGTGCACATAGGAGGAGCACTTAACCCAGGACTGTGAATCCTGGAAGCCTGCCTGGAGGCAGTGCTGGACAACCAAGTCCTTGAAGCATAAGCAGGGGTGAGCCCAGTGCAGAGGGGCCACCTTGTGTGAAGGCTGCGAATAAAGACCATAACCCATTTGAGGCAACAAAATGCTGCTCCAGAGTGAACAGAGTGGCAAGAAATGAGTAAGGCTCTTGCCTTCATGGTAAGGAATTCTGACTTGAACCTAAATGCACTGGGAAGTTAGTGTTTAATATTAAGCAGGTGTGGTTTGGAAGAGCAGGCTGGAACACGGATTGGAGTCAGCCTGGTCAAAGGCTGTACCAGCAGGGGGTGCTGTTGGACTGAGCCAGGCTGGCAGCAGCGGCCATAGGTGATTTTAAAACTTGTCTATTTGGGGCTCCATCTATGGGATGACGGTGGAGTTGGAGGGAGCAGAGGCAAGCCCCAGAACCCAGGATTACACAACTAGATAGATGGTGCTGTCTACTGAGGTTTGGGGGGTGGAGTCTGAGGTGTCTGAGATGTATGATGGCAAATTACAGCAGGATGTGTATGGGCTGGGCTCAGCTTGGACACAGAGGTTCAGGAGGGGTGTGGCTGAGTGCGGTCTGGAAGATGGGTGGAGACAGTGAGGGTGGATGACTCTTAATGAGTCTGACTACAAATGGGCTTTTTAGTTGGCTTTTAAAGGAGGCAGGGAACTCTAAACCAAAACCAAATCCACTGCCATCAAGTCAATCCCAACACAAAATCAAATCACACTGCTATGCAGTTGGATCCAACTCATAATGACCCTTGGGTTTCCAAGGTGATATCACTATGGAAGTAGACTGCCAAAAAAACAGGTAGAACTTCCTCCATAGGGTTTCCAAGGCTATAGGTCTTTACAGAAGCAGACTGCCTCATATTTCTCCCATGGAGCGTCTGGTGGGTTTGAACCACCAACCTTTTGGTTAGCAGCCAAATGCTGCAGGTGACTAGCAGTTTCAAATGTACAAGGCAGTAGCCACAGAGGGCACAGAGTCTACAGAACAAGGCCCCTGGGTTAAAAGACATGGGCACAGAGCCCAGGGACAGCTGACCTTGGGGGAAGGAGGAAGGGATGGATACAGGTAGAGAAGGAATGTTTGCAGACTTGGTGCCAGCAGGTTCCATCCCTAGCCAGTGGCCGTGGTTTCTGCCACAAAGTAGGAAGTAGGCTTACTTGCCAGTGAGGAGAAAGAAGGGCCTCAGAGCTGGGCAGAGGGTGACAGATGTCTAGCACTTGTCCAGAAGAGGAGTCAGCTGAGTAGGGAAATGCAATTTGCTTTGGGGAGTGGAGGCTTAATCACCCTTGGGAGGTTTGCCTTTGTGGCGAGCTGCGCTATTGATTGAATGCCTGGGCCCTGGGCCTGGGGATCCTTGCTGACACTGGCAGGGATGGACAGCAAATGACCCGAAACACGAAACGCGCTCCATGGCGCAGCAGGACCTCTCCCCAAAGCCTCAGGCTTTGCAAGCAGATTAGCGACTGCAGGCAGGACAGGGAGGCACGCCCCTCCATCCCAAGCCTAGTTTGGTCCAAAGGGTATTTTCAAGTTCCACAAGTTTACTAGTAATTTTACAGTTTCTTTCCACAGCTGAGGAACAAACAGAAAACTGATTATCACACCACAGTCCCCACAGAAACCTCACGTGGGTGTCGCCCAAGAGACTCCCCCATTTCTCTTCTCCCATCAGGTTCAAAAGCCCCAGACACAAACAGCTCTGAAGCAGCCTCAGTCTGGGTACTAGTGAGCAACCTGTCCACGCAGACACCTGCAGGTCCCAGAGACCTGGTCAGGGTTCCAGGTGCAAAGCTGGAGGCGGAAGGTGTTCGGCAGGAAGCAGACAGATTCACCTAAAACTTGTCCTACACCCCCCTGTTGTAGAAGAGTTCTGTTTCTTCTGTTGAAGACTGAATTTCCTCTTCAAGCTGACTGCACTGTATCTGAAAAACAAAGTTTAGTTCTGAATATCTACAGCAACTTGCCTTAGAAGCCAAGTTCAAACTCATTTTCAAAAGCACCTATCTCATAGTCCATCATTTTTTTAATGATATCCAATCTATAGCAAACACATAACCATAAAATATTTTTTAGGGAAAATTTTAAATAAAACCAAATGTAGGCAGAACAACAGAATCAATGCACCCGTGCTCAGCAGCAGTTTTAACTACTACCAATCTGCCAGCCTTACTTCATCAGGCACCTCCCACACCCAGTGTGAGCATTTTTCCCCCTCTAAGGAGCTCTGGTGGTATAGTGCCTAAGGCATTTGACTGTTCATCAGAAGGCTGGCAGTTCAAACCCACCAGCCACTCCTTGGAAGGAAGATGGGACAATCTACTTCCATAGAGATACCGCCTCGGAAATCCAAGGAGGGATTGCTATGAGTCGGACCTGACTCAATGGCAGTGAGTTTGGGTTTTTCATTTTTATTTTCTTTGGTGGCACAGTGGTTAAGTACTGGGCTGCTAACCAAAAGATCAGCAGTTTGAACCCACCAGCTACTCTGCAGGAAAAAGATGAGACAGTTTGCTTCTGTAAAGATTACAGCCTTGGGAACCCTAAAGGGCAGTTCTATTCTGTCCTACAGGGTTGCTAGGAGTTGGAATCGACTCAACGGCAGTTTTCTAGTTTGGTAAGGTACTTTAAGACAATCCTCAGATGTGTCATTTCACCTACTACAAGTGATGCTGCACCACCACCACCACCACCACCATTCAGAACAATCCCCGAATGGCATCTAATACTCGGCCACACTCAGATTTCTCCATCGGTCTCAAAGGCATCTTATGTAATAAGGTTGCAAATACACAGCTGACATTGGCAGGGAGAGGCAGCAACTAGAAGGGAGCTTTGGACGGGACACATGTTCTTGTCCAGACCTGAAAGGACCTGTGTGCAGCCTGCAGTGTCTGGGGACATGCCCTGGACAGGCCGGCAGGACTCCTCCCAGACTCCGGCTCTGCAAGTGATCGGCCACCACAGGTAGGACTGGGAGGTACCCCTCGAGCCCAGGACCACTGTTCAGCCACCTCCATACCCACCATGGCCTAATAGGACAGACTCAAGGTCCCCCAAATGCCAAGATGGCTGGGGTGTCAGGAGGGGAGATGGCACTCACTTCCTGACTCTGCTCTGGCCTCTGGGAATTCCCCCCACCCCAAGCCAGGCATGACTCACCTGCCCCCAGAGAAGCACGAGAGGGGCACATGGGGGGAACTTACCAGTCTAACCTGTGGGAACATGCTAAAGGAGACAGGCACCATCAGCCCCAAGGCCAGGATGCTGCAGGACAGCTTCACAGTCCACAGGGACCAGGGGTGCTGCAGGAAGAACTGGGTCCTGCGAGAGACGAGGTGCTGATGAACGACATGGGCCCGTGCTCCACGTGGCTAATCCTGTCCCGTGCAGCTGCATGACAGCGGATACTTAGGCCCACGCCTTGGTTCCCACACACGCACACCTGTTGCTGCTGAGTCCATTTCAACCTACAGTGGCCCCATGGGATAGACTGAGGCGCTTTGGTGGTGCAGTGCCTAAGGCATTTGACTGCTAACAAGAAGCCTGGCAGTTCAAACCCACCAGCCACTCCTTGGAAAGAGTTGGGCAATCTACTTCCATAGTGAGACCACCTCAGAAACCCAAGGAGGGGTCCTTATGAGTCAGATCCGACTCGAAGGCAGTGAGTTTAGTTTTTTTGTTTTATAGCATAGACTGAGGAGCTCTGGTGGTGTAGTGCTTAAGGATTTGACTGTGAATCAAAAGGTCAGTGGTTCAAACCCACCAGCTGCTCCATGGAAGAAAGATGGGGCAGTCTGCTTCCATGAAGGTTTACAGCCTTTGAAATCCAATGGGGGTCGTTATGAGTTGGAATTACGCTATGGCAGTGAGTTTGGTACAGGACAAATGAGAACTGCCCCATAGGGTTTCCAAGGCTATAATCTTTACAGAAGCAGGTTGCCTCATTTTTGTGCCCATGGAGAAGGTGGTGAGTTCAAACTGCCAACTTTTCAGTTAGCAGTTAGCAGCTGAGCACTTAACCATTGCACCACCAGAGGTCCTTCCTTAGCCCCCAACAACCCACAAACAGGCACTGAAAACAGCCTGTGCATGTGTTAGGACAATCAAACACACGAGATCCAAAGGGCAGCATCTGCCCAGAGATAAAGCTCAGACTGTGGGAAGGAACAGGCGAGGAGGACAAAGGGAAATGTTAACCACAGGCAGGAAACGGGAAGAGGGCTGTTGCACTGTGGGGACTCGATGTCACAGAACAAAATGTGTATGAACTACTGGATGGACAACCAATTTACTTGATAAACTTTCACCCGAATCACAATAAAAAGTGACCAAAAAGAACAGCTACACTGGCTTCCGATGCCTCGGGCTCAGGCGGGTTCTCGTTTGGTCCCCAGGGCCCTGAGGCTGTGTTTGTGTTGTGTCCCCTTCTTTGTTGTCGTTGTTAGTGCTGAAGAGTCGGCCCAGGCACAACAGAACGAAATGCTGTCCAGTCCCCTGCCATCCCTGTGATGGGCTGTGGGCCAGACCACTTGACCCCAGGGTTTTCACTGGGTGAGTTTCAGAAGGAGGTCTCAGAGTTCCTTCCCGGTCTGCCTTAGTCTGGAAGCTCCCCTGAAACTGCTCAGCATCACAGCAACATGCAAACTCCACAGACAGACAGGTGGGTGCATGTGAGGTACCTTACTGGGGACTGAACCTGGGTCTCCCGCACGGAAGGCAGGAGTTCTAGCACCGAACCACCAATGTCCCCCTCATTTCCCAACCAAGGAAAGAGGCAGTGACCTGTTAAGTAACCTGTCCAAAATCACACCGCTCAAACGTGCTGGGTCAGAGAGCCTAGTCTGCACTCTCAGCCTGGGCACCCTGACCCTCTGGGGCTGTACGAGACAGCGTGGTGATGCGAGAACTCCAGCTGGGCAGTCAGAGACCTGCGGCCACAACACTGTGTGCCCTCAGGCAGGCTGCTCTCCCTTTCCGAGCTTGGTTTTTTCCCAGCTGCAAAATGAGGGGTTGAGATAGAAGATCCACCAGAGGTCACTCTATGGCACGTGGCCCTTCTGGGAAAACAAGACCACCGCTCCCCACTAGGCAGCCTGTGACAATCATGTAGGCACTGTGGGGTGGACCAGAGGGCCCCAGCTTCCACAGGAGCTCTGGCTCCAAGATCAGCCAGAGTGGCTGGGAAGGCCCCGACCTAGAACATCCTCCACCCCCTCAGCTGGGCCGGCTGTGGGGAGTTACAGTCGGCTCTGCCGAGGACACTGCCTCTACTTCCAGAAAATCCACTCTGTGGTTCTGGTGGCAGCTTTCAGTCCCAGCCTCACCACCCAGACGAGAGTGGGTAAGTCCACTGTGGGCATGTGAACTGATCTGGGCCAATCAGAATCCTTCCCTGGGAGTTTCTGAACTGAAGAGAAGACACTCCCCCACCCTTGGGTTATGCTGAGTTTTTAATCTCTGATCAGGAACTATGAGGGTATGAGCTAGCTGCGAGTCTGCAGCAGCCAAGTCCCTCGACAATGTAAATCCTGTCTATAGCAAGAGGGAAGGAAGCCGACACCCAGGAAGGAAAGAAAGGACTGTCCTAGCACAGAAGTTCTTGTTCAAGCTGCCACAGGCTATACTCCTTTCCCACACCTGTCACCTCTCGGCTGGCCCAGCTACTTCAAGTTGGGCTTCTGATACTTGCAACCACGGAAGCCCGACTGATCCCAGGCCCTCTTAACAGGCGCTTCTTGCTTCTCAAAAGGGGTAACCATCTCCTCAATCTGTGGCCACTTAACCTAATTTTTTCTTCAAATTACAATTCAATGGCTTTTGGTATCTTCACGGAGCTCTGAAGCTAATTTAAACACGGTTAGAATGGGGGGGGGGGCTGGAGCAGTGCTCACAGGACATCAGAACTGGTAGAGCCTGCAAATTATCCAAACCTATCATTCTAGAAGCAAGGAAATGAGCCTCCGCAGGCTCTTGGACACGCCCAAGGACACACAGCTGACCAATGGCAGAGCCTGGGCCGGAGTCCAGGTTTTCTGGAAAATGCACATCTGGGTTTTCCTGCCCAACTCAGCTTCGCTGGCCTAACTGTGAGGAACGTTCAGCAGGAAGATCACTGAAGCAACTTTTTCCCACCCCTCCCACCAGCTTCAGCATTTGAGTGTCCAAACGTTGGCTCCTCCCTGGGGAGATGAGGGGACCTCTTACCGTTTGAAGAAGTACACCAAGACTTCTGTGACACAGGCTGCGGTCCCAAACAGCACCGTTCTGGATACTGCAGTTTCTTTGACGGCCTGGTGGGAACGGAAAGAGAGCAGCTTAATATACAGAGTGAGAGCGTTTCTAGGGACCCAGCAACTCAGGGTAGAGACAAGTGAGAAGCACCTCTCCTTTCTCACTTAGAAAGGTATTGCACGTGGAAGGAGGTGAAGCCACACCTGCGCACAGGTGTACGGAAGACAGCTGGGGTCAGTGCCAGGAGCAACTGGGGAGGAGTGTTAGCTCCCTATGACAATAATCTCCACCAGTGCCCACAAACCACCCCAAATAAACACCCCAAATAAAACATGCACCAACTCCAAGCAGCCTGACGACAAAGCCTTGCTCAGAACCAAGGCAGTCCCCTTGGTGGAAATGCTAGATTCAACACTGAGGCCCACTCCACATTTTCTTTTCAACCCAAGACCCTGCCACTGGTGACCTCACTGTCCTGACTGCTCCCCAATTAACCCCACCTCTACCAGTGCAAGGAGCCCTGGTGGTGCACTGGTTAAGTGCTTGGCTGCTAACTGAAAGGTCACCAGTTCAAACCCACCAGCAGCTCCATGGAAAAAAAGCCCTGGGAATCTGTTCCTGTAAAGACTACTGCCTTGGAAACCCTATGGGGCAGGCCTACTCTGTCCTATAGGGTCCCTATGAGTGGATTCTGACTTGACAGCCCATGACAACCACCCCCACCTCCTGGTGGACTCAGAGTACACTGGCCAGGCAGCACACCTGCATGTCATGTGCCCAAGCCCACCTGAGTGTACTCACCTTTCACCTGTGCAATTAGAAGTGTTGTGCTATAAACTGATACCGCTAAGTCATACCCTTGAAAAACGCTGTGCTATAAGACCTTGTTTTGCCTCAGTATGTAAGCACAGCTCTTCATGTTTTGCTTTCTTTTCTACAGTATGTTGTTGTTGGTTGCCATGGAGTCAATTCCAGCTCACGTGGCCCTGAATGTGCGGAGTGGAACCGCTTTAAAGGCCGTGACCTCTTAGAAGCAGGTCGCCAGGCCCATCTTCTGAGGCACCTCTGGGTGGGTTTGAACCAGCAACCTTACAGCTCGTAGCTGAGTGCTTAAAACTTGCGCCACCCAGGGACTCCTTTTCCAGAGTGTCTATTATTCTATTCATTAAACATTTAAATAGATATTTTAACGTTTGGGTTAAATCATAAAACCAAAATCATGTATTCTCTACTCAGGGAATTTAACAGATTTTCAAGGGAAATTCTGACTATAGGTGACATTTACTCTCATGTTAACTTTAGAACCCAACCCCTGGGAAGACAAATTCAGCTCCACAAATATCACTCTTCTGTCCAAGAGACGGGGAGCTCTGGTGGTGCAGTGGGAAGGCATTTGGTTGCTAACCAAAAGGTCAGAGCCACTCCACAGGAGAAAGATGTAGCATTCTGCTTCCGTAAACATTTACAACCTTGGAAACCTGCGGGGCAGTGCTATTCTGTCCTACAGGGTCACTGAGTAAGAACTGCCTAATGACAGTGGGTTTGGTTTTGGTTTGCCCAAGAGACAGGCAGGCACTCCACCACTGCCCTCTGTTCCTTCCACTCCAACTTTCCAAGACTTGGCTGCAACTTGCCTTCCTGGGCTCATCTCCCATCACCTGGTGTCCACCCTCCATTCACACCTGTGTGTGCTGAGCCTCGGCTCACACTGTTCCCTCTGCAGGGAAGGCCTTTCCTCGCTAGGGCAGAGATCCCAGCAGGGCAGTTTTTAGATTAAAATTTCAGGAGAATAAAATGAAACCCACTCAACTTCAGGAAGGGAAACGTGGCTGCTGGGTATGTTGTTTCATCATCAGCTGGGAGAACCAGCCTCTCCTGTTTGTCCTGTGTACCATGGGAGGTGGGTCAAAGGCTACCCATCATTAAGAGGCTGGGATAACGCACCAGTTTGCAGTCCAGAGACTGACAAGGCCAGTCAGGGAAAACAACACAAACGAGGCTCCTGAAACGTGAGCAAAGGTGCCCAGTTACAATCAGATATTGCTGGTTACGCACTGTCTGAAATTTTAGCCAAAGAAAATAAGCCGTTTGGTGCCAGTGATGCGACGAAAGAGCGCTCATGCTTACGCACAGCTGCAGACACTTTACTCTTAAAAGATAAAGGTTTTCTTAAAACAAGCAGACCAGCAAACCTTTTCTTCTCCCTAGTTTGGCTCTCATGCAAGTGATGAAATGCCTCCTAGTGAGACGGAGCCTAGAGAGCCAGCGGGGCCTGAGTCCCGGCTAGGAGGCTGAGGGCTCTGGAGAGAAGGGACCTGACTGGCCAGTGTCTGGTCTGCACGCCCAGCACAGCGCCTGGCAGGCCGGCCCCCCGCGGGCTCGGGAAGAACTGATCCAGCAACATCTCCAGCAACATCGGCTCTCACTCCAACCTTTCCCTTTTTAAAAGTTTATTTATTTTGCCATTGTTATTGAGAACACACACAGCAGGACATAACACCGATTCCACACTTTCTATGCATGCCATTTAGTGACATTGACTACATTATTGTGCACCGATCCTCACTCTCCTTTTCAGAGTTACTCCTCCCCCTAAATTAACATAAATCACTGCCCCCTAAGGTTCCTATCTAATCCTTCCCGTGGTTATGGTCCATCTAGATCCCATGTACATAGTTCTTAAAAGAGTGTGATGTTCTAAACTCACTGCCCGTCGAGTCGGATCCGACTCACAGCAACCCCTCCTTGGGTTTCCCAGGCGGTATCACTACGGAGGATTGCCCAGTCTTCCGAGAGTGGCTGGTGGGTTTGAACCGCCAGCCTTCTGGTTAGAAGTCAAATGCCTTAGGCACCACACCACCAGAGCTCCTATAATGCTCCGGGCAGACCTTTTTTATTAGTTAAGCTAAACTACTGTTTGACTTTAAGAAGACTTCAGGAGAAATTTTTGGTTTAAAGTTTAAAGATTATCTCAGGGCAATAGTTTCAGGAGTTCATGCAACCTCCATGGCTCCAGGAAGTCTGAAGTCCATGAGAATTTGAAATTTTGTTTTGCATTTTCCCCCTTTTGATCAGGATTCTTCTATAGACTCTTAGATGAAAATGTTTAGTAACAGTAGTTACTAAACATCTAGTTTTTCTAGTCCCATGGCAAAGGAGGCAATTCGCCACACATTGCATATCTTCCTCCTATTCCTGATTCTCCTTCCTCTGTTACTCCTTCTTCCTCTGTTGTGCCTTGGATGGCCACATGTAAGCTTTTATGACCCTGGGCACTATGTAATGAACTGGGAGGTAGAACAGAAACACAGGACACATTATTACACCAATTAACTGGAATGTCCCACATAACTATGACCCTAAAACTTCAACCATCTCACTCTAATCTTCAGCTTGGTAAGTAGTTCACAATGATCCTAACCCCTTGAAAGTATGAAACTTGAAGAGAAATGCACATGTATGTCCTTGCAGACATGTTCATAACAGTTATTGGTTATTGATAACAACCAATGACTGGGGACAGTTCACCAGTCCAACTCCATCAACTGGGGAACACAAAAGCAAAATGTGGCCCATCTACTCAACAGCACAGTAAACATGAGTTGCTGTGGAGTCCGTCTGATGTGTGGTGACCCCAGGCGTGTCAGACGGGGACTGAGCTCCACAAGGCTGTCAACAGCTGAATCTGGGGGAGCATGTCCCTAGGTTTTTCTTGCAAGGTGCCTCTGGGTGGACACAAACCTTCAAGCTCTCAGTTAGCAGCCAAGTCCATTAACTGCACCACGCAGGGACTCCAAATGGAATACCCCTCAGCAATAAATAGCAACAAACTACTAATATATGCTACATGGATAGTCCTCAAAAGTGAAAGAAACTAGGCACAGGCTTTTGTATGATTCCATTTACATGAAATGTCTAGAAAAGGCAAGAGTACGGAGACAGAAAGCAAATCCGTGGTTGCCTGAGGATGGCAGTGGGGACTGACTACAAAGAGGCTGAAGGGAACTTTTGAGGATGATGCAATATTCTCAAACTAGAGCGTGGTGGTGGTACACAACTGTGTAAGTATACTACAATTCATCATACTCTTACAATGGATGAATTTTACAGGATGTAAATTATACCTCAATAAAGCTATTAAAAATGTCGCTTTAAAAATATAGTGTGTGTGTATGTGTATATGTCCCGCTATCATTACTAAATGTTTTCATCATGGAATTAATAGATGAGTCTTAATCAAAAGTAGGGGGAAAATGTGAAACAGACTTTAATATTCTTACAGAATCCAGACTTACTGGACCCTGTTAAGACTGGAAGAACCCCTCAATCTATCACTCTGAGAAGATCTTCAAACCATGAACCAAAATGATCCCCTGAAGTCACCTCTAAACTAAACTGTTTGGTTTATTAACTAAAGAATGACCAACATGAGCACTGTACTCTCTTAAATGAAATCCAGCTGCCAACTGTCACTGTACAGCATAGTTCTCGTTCAGGGGAAGTGAGTCTAAGCCAACCGTGGGGAAGCAATATGGGCAGAGGGAGTGACAACGGGAAGAAGGTAACCAATGCTATTGGACTGCACAGGGACAAACTGATGACGGGGTGTGTTCTGCTGGGTGTGTTTTCACCAAGATACAATATAGGTGTATATTTACAAAAAGTATATACAGGTGAAAACAGAACTATATATATGTTGTTGTTGTTGTTGTTTGCCATCGAGTCGGCCCTGACTCATAGCGACCCCTCCTTGGGTTTTCGAGGCAGTATCACTATGGAAGTAGGATTGCCCAACCTTCCTTCCGAGGAGTGGCTGGTGGGTTTGAACTGCCAG